GATAAAAAGAAACAAAACTTTACTAACTCACAGGGAAAATCTCAACATTTTAAGGTGTTTTTCCTCAAAATCAGTTTTTTTGTTGCTACTGCTCAAAAAAGTGCTTCAAAATTTAGTTTTCTGATTTTATTTCAGACTTTTCATTTAAATGATACATTAATAAGACTTTTATTCATTATATTTTGACAAAATGCAATTTTTTGTTAACATTTTAGTCAAAACACTTTATTTGTCCATGTACCACTTTTGGTCTTAATCCAGGTTTGGATGATGGCTCACAGATGATCTGCCTTGATCCTGAAGCTTTCTTAAAGTAGAAACTGATAAACTATTCAGCACACTGTTGTTCAGCCGGAGTGCTGTTTTGTTGCTCTTCTGCTAACAGCTATGTGTGTTTGCTAAATGTTATATATCACTATGAAGACAGCAGAGTCCCAAAACGAAGCTCCCAGAGAAGGATCAATGGTGAAAGGTTTAGGAAAATTTGAAGTAAACAGAAAAGACAGCCCAGCACAATGTTCTGGATGTTTCAGCAACACAACAGACAACAGCTGAGGCATACACCAATCTAAGAAAATAAATAAAAACACATCATGCCCAGTGTCACAGTGGGAGTGTATTGTAACGTACATATATACACATTCAGACAGAGTAAAGTCATTGTTTCTATTAAAACATCTGATTAATCACAATTAAAATGTTTAATCTGTGCCCAGCACTACTTATCCATGCAGCCTCAAACCTCACAAAATAACTTGTCATTTTAATGTAGAGGCATCAGCAAGTGTAGATGACCTCATCACAATATTAAATAATTGTTTTTGTCATAAAATTCAGTTCAGTTTATATATTTAGAGCCATGTCACAACAAACATGGTGTCAGGGCACTGTACACAAAAACTATCTACACAATCAGCAGGTTGTGTTGAATCACTTCATCAGTGTCCATCCTGAGCAGCATGTTAGTGACAGTGGGGAGGAGAAACCTCCAGCAGGACCAGGACCAGGACCAGGACAGGAGACCATGAGCTGGGTTTGGGGGACAGGAGACTCAGAAGGACTAAAGCCTGCTTCATCAGCTCAGTTTGTCTGTTTGATGACTAAAATCCTGTCGTCATGTTCTTAGCATCGACTCTGTCGCTCCTTTTGTCACAGCCTCCAGTGTACCCCCCTCACATGAGAACCTGTTGTGTGATTGTTCAGTTTGTGGGAGTGTGTGTTCATGCTGAAACCACTCACGCTGCGTTTTGCTTCCAGAAAACCCCTCTTTGAAACTCTTTTTCCTCCTTACTTTCATCAGGACTCTCCTCATCTTCCTTCACAGCTCTGGAAGAGCAGTCCTCAGAAAAACACTGCCGTTAGTGTCCCAGAGGTTTTACAACAAAATAAAGTTTTATTTTATTTGTTTTTCTACACGAAGCGGCTGTTGTCAAAATAAAAGCCGTAGTTCTGTCACTACTATCTTATTAGTCATCATATCAGTCAGAGCATGGAGTCTGGGGAAACCTTCAGAACTGGTCTTTCAGGCTAGGTTAATGGCTAGCTAAATGATCTTTGATGTTTTTTGACCAAATCTTTTTTCCAAAATGACATGCCAACAACAGTCTTTGAGTATCACTGTTGTGTGCTGAACATGAACGAGCTGAGGCTGTTGCATGTTTCAGACCACTGGGAGGTGAGTGAACCTTTGACTGGAAGCACTGGTCAGGTAAACTCCACAGCACTGGTGCATAACATCACAGGAACAATGTGGTCCTTCAAGACTGAAACCATTGGTTCATGGTTCTGTTGTCACTGTATGAACAGTGACGCTCTGCGTTGGCAGTTTTCTGTCATCTGTCTCATTGACAGTGTGCCTAATTGTTTCAGGTCTGCTGAATACACATGTGGTCAGAATTGTTGGTACCCTTCTTTTAAAGAAAGAAAAACCCACAATGGTCACAATGAACAAAAGTAATAAATAAAAATTCTATAGAAATGAGCAAATGAAAGTCAGACACTGCTTTTCAGTCATGCTTCAACAGAATAAAAAAAAATCAAAATCATAAAACAGGCCTGGACAGAAATGATGGTACCCCTAAACATAATGTAACCAAAGGGTCATGTTAAATCAAGGTGTGTCCACTAATTTTCATCACAGATGTCTACAGTCTTGTAATCAGTCAGTGGACCTGTAGGCCTACAGATACTCACTGTGTTTGGTGACATGCTGTGGACCACACTCAACATGGACCAGAGGAAGACAAGGAAAGACTTGTCTCAGGAGAGTAGAAAGACAATTATACACAAGTATGTTAAAGGTAAAGGTTATAAGACAAGCATGTTAAAGGTAAAGGTTATAAGACAAGCATGTTAAAGGTAAAGGTTATAAGACAAGCATGTTAAAGGTAAAGGTTATAAGACAAGCATAATAAAGGTAAAGGTTATAAGACAAGCATAATAAAGGTAAAAGTTATAAGACAAGCATAATAAAGGTAAAGGTTATAAGACAAGCATAATAAAGGTAAAAGTTATAAGACAAGCATAATAAAGGTAAAAGTTATAA